AGGGAAAGAAAAACCATGGAACTGGTACATACACTGAAAAGCTGATTTTTCTTTTGGGAGAAACAAACAACAAAATAGACATTCTTGTGAGTAGCCAGATCAAGAAGAAAAGGAGAAGACACACATACACAATTAAAAAGAAAATAGCCCGCGGTAATTTTCAAGTCTCTACAAAAACATTTGTAAACTTGGGCAAAACTGGTGATTTTCTAGGAAAGTATAAATCACCAGTATTAGCCCAGAAAAGATTTTTTTAATGTAGACCAATACTGGTAAGTGTTATCAAGGGGTTCTTTCCCAATAACTATGTGAGGTGATGTAATTATTTCACAGTGTATACAGGTATCAAAACATCACCGTAATTATACACCATAAATATACACAATCTTTATTTGTTAATTATACCTCAGTAAAGCTGAGGGGAAAGAAAAAAAAAGAAGTTCCTTTTTCTTTCCTTTCCAAATAAAGAGGAGCAAAACCCAGACAGTTTCACAGGTTAGTTCTCTCAAAACCTTCAAGGACCAAACAATCCCAATTTTATTTAAACATTTGCAGAGGATAAAGAAACAGGAAAACCTCCCTAATTCTTATCATGAAGTCCGTATAATACATCAAGACTAAAATCCAGCCAAATATCTTAATATAATTCGCCACTTGAATAGTTCAAAGGAGAAAAAATTACAGGCATACTTAGACAATATTGCAGGTTTGGTTCCAGACCACCGTAGTAAAGCGAATATCACAATAAAGCAAGTCACATGAAGTTTTTGGTTTATAAAAGTTATGTTTACACTATACTATGTTCTATTAAGTGTGCAATAATATTATGTCTTAAAAAAAAGAATGTACATACCTTAATTAAGAAATACTTTGCTAAAAAATGCTACCCATTATCTGAGCCTTCAGTGACTTGTAATCTTTTTTGCTGGTGGAGGGTTTGAAATATTGCAAGAATTACCAAAATGTGACAGAGACACGTAGCGGGCAAAAGCTGTTGGAAAAACGGAGCCAATAGACTTGCTTGATGCAGGTTGCCACAAACATTCAATTTGTAAAAATAAAACGCCCCTGCAGTATCAATGAAGCGCAATAAAGCAAAGCACAATAAAATGAGGTGTGGCCTGTAATCATCTCTATAGATAATGAAAAGGCATACAACACCTGATGCTGCTGTTTATAAAAACACAAGGGGATGCCTTCTTTACACTTAACGGAAATTCTGGACACCTGCCCAGTCAGGGACAAGGCAGGCATGACTGCTGCCGCCTCTGTCCTGGGCATCATTCTGGCCAAACCAGCCCGTGATCAATGAGAGAGGAAACCAGAGAAACAGCGAACCCTCCATGCAGGCAGATCCCATGAACACCCTAGAGGATCAGTAGAAGAAAGAGTGGTGGGACTTCCCTGGTGGGGAAGTTAAGGCTCCCCACTCCCAATGCAGAGGGCCCAGGTTTGATCCCTGATCAGGGAACTAGATCCCACATGTATGTCGCAACTAAGAGTTTGCATGCCGCAACTAAGAAGCTGGTGAGCCGCAACTAAGGAGCCGGTGAGCTGCAACTAAGGAGCCCATCGGCCGCAACTAAGACCCAGCACAACCAAATAAATAAATATTTTTTAAAAATGAGTGGTGAGAGGATGACCAGTTTCAAAATTAATACACAAAAACTCACGGCTTTCCTATCGACAACTAGTTGGCAAATAGAATTGAAGAAAACATCAATTTATAAGCAAAACAACCCCCAAATTAAAAATGCTAGGAATAAACCTAGCAAGACTGCAGGAGAAATCTGAGGAGAGTCCTGAAAGCTCCTGGAGGCTTAGGAGAGAAATAAGTGCAAGGATGCCCTCTTCTGCCCGGAGCAAAACCTCCCCCTTCTGTCCTACAGCTGCTCTTCCCTACTCTCCCCATGGGATGGGAGTCTCATCTCCCTTCCTTGGAGACCACTGGCCCCCTAGTCCTCAGGCCCCTGACCCTCAAGCCGCCCTGGACAGTCATTCACCTCCATGACCCTGAGACCAAGGCCTGCCCCTGCCCGGTCCCCAAATTCCTCCACCCCCCGGGACCCGTGAACCACAGGGCGCCTCCTGACAATAAACACGTCCCAGGGTGCGCTTGGTGGTCACCCTGCCACTCACTCTGGTGTGTAATAATTCATCCCCAAACCTCCTGCAAAGCCCCTCCTCCGGGCCCACATCTTTGCCCCACTGTGGCTCATCTAAGGCCAGATGGATACAGAAGGGGAGAGACCCTCAGCCCTACCCCTCCGAGGATATGTGTCTTATGCGGTGGACAGGGGGCATCCCATCCTGAGTCTCCTGACACCTCCCCTGCAGCTCTCACTCTCGCACCCTCCCTCCTCCCCTACCCCCCGCCCCCCCACTGTAGCCCCTCACCTGGGACCCAGAGAAGCAGCAGAGCCGGGTGCAGCCACTTGGCCTGGTACCACCAGGCCATCTCTCCAGCACAGACGTCGCGTGCAACAGCGCCAGGCCACAGCTGGCCCCAAGGCTTCAGTCCCCCCTCGAGGAGGAATGTCAGGCCTCCAGGCTCCCACTTCTGCTTTTCTTCGTGCATCACTGCTTCCTCGTTCAGTTTTTCAGTTCTGTTCCTGGAGCTGCTGAAAAGATGGAGGTCTTCACTGAGGGAGCAAGGTAACCGCCAGGGCCTGAGACACCCCGGCCGTGTTACAGATTCTGTACGTATTTCCAGTAAGGAGACCCTCCCCAGTCCTACAGCTCACCTCCCCTCCCCTCCCGCCCCCAAAACCACAGTGTCCTAATCCAGCCAGTAACTCCCTCGGTTTCCCCATAGTCGGGGTGGTCAGGGTGAGCGCCCTGGGGGAGGAGCAAGGGCCCTGGACAGCACCCACAGAGCGACTGCCCTGGGGACCAGCCCTTCCAGGAGCACCCCCGGCTCAAGGTCTGGACCTCCAAGTTGACCCCAGATGACCCCAGAGTCCCTGAATGACTGCTCGTCTTGGACACATGTCCTCCACTTGGCCTGAAGGCCCTCGGGCTGTGACCTTCCTTCCCATGCAGTTCCCACTGGACCCAGCTCAGGGCTGAGTACAGAGCAGGTCTCAGCAAGCCTGCAGGGACCCCTCCTTCGGGGATCTCAGACTCTAAATATACACACACATATTCCTCGTAACAAGTGCCCCCAGCTCGCACAGAATGGCCACATGAGCATAGGAAACTAGTCCTAATGCGTGAGGAGGGCTAATGTGTCACCTGAGGGCTTGCAGATAGTAACTCCGAATGCCGCCATCCGGAGTCCCCAGAATGCCCTTCCCTCCCTGCTCTGGCTCTAAAGTTTCCAGAAATGTATATCTTTCAGTTCAACCATCAGAAGTCATTGCCAAGGTCTTGAATGTCAAGGTTAAGGGGCAGATGCACCAGACTGAGAAGAAGCAGGAGGCTAGGCTGTGGCTTGTCCACGTACCGCTGGCGTGACCTTGACCAAAACCCGTGACCCTGTAAAATGTCAATAATAATAGCTAGGGGCTTCCCTGGTGGCACAGTGGTTAAGAATCCTCCTGCCAATGCAGGGACACGGGTTCGAGCCCTGGTCCGGGAAGATCCCACATGCCGCGGAGCAACTAAGCCCGTTTGCCACAGCTACTGAGCCTGCGCTCTAGAGCCTGTGAGCCACAACTACTGAGCCCGTGCGCCACAACTACTGAAGCCCATGCACCTAGAGCCCGTGCTCCGCAACAAGAGAAGCCACCACAATGAGAAGCCGGTGCACCGCAACGAAGAGTAGCCCCCGCTCTCTGCAGCTAGAGAAAGCCCGTGGGCAGCAATGAAGACCCAGGGCAGCCAAAAATAAATAAATGAAATAAATAAATTTATTTAAAAAAATAATAATGATAGCTAATTTGAGGGAGTAAATAGTATCATAATTATAAAAATACCCGAATATGGGGTAATGGTATCCTCAAGCCAGTTTCTTTCC